AAAATACTTTAACTGACATGGAAACCATATTTTCATTACATCTCTTCTAAGGACTCAGCAATTATATGTAAATATTAAATTTCATTCATTAGTCTAATTGTAATTAGCAATATTTGTCTGTTACATTAGATAGTGTGAATATATACATATATATATATATATATATATATATGTATATATATATATATACACACACACACATATATATACATATATATATATATATATATATATATATATATATATATATAAAATGTATACACATTTTACAGTTTAGGAGAAGAGATGAAAATATACAATCAAAGTTAGAAGTACTGGAATATCTTATGTTAATTGAAAATACCTGTAAAATCTCAGGAATTTTCTTCTTCTCTGTATGTATAATTTCTTAGATTTAACTACTAAAACTTTCTAAAAGTAATGCTGAACTAGTCATAATGATGCTCAGGTGACAGTCTATAAATGTCATTGTCCACCAAAAGGATTGAGAGCCTTGGGGAAAAAAGCTTGTTTAAAATCTGAATCAGAAATATATCATATGATCCTTGCATATCTTATTATAATAAATAGCTAAAAAGCTATTGAAGACTTATTGGGTCATGTTAGAAACACATCGAGGCCAATTCTGACTAGCACTCACTGACCAAAGATGAGGTTGTTTAAGCATCAATAATCTAAAAATTGAAATATATCAAATATACATCAAATGTAAAAATGCATCAAATATGAAATATCTATTAATTTATAAAAATGCTTAATGCTCTCAAGTCACCTTTGGAGGTTTCTAGTATACCAGCTCACTACTCTAAAATGCTTAAGAAAAGTGAAAAAATAAAGCCTGTATCCTAACTTTCCTATAAGGAAACAGGGTTATCAAATACTTGATGAACAGTACTTCTTCTTTATAGAAGAATTCTAGCTAATAAATGTAGAATAAATGTTATAAATAGGAAGCTACCATTTTGCAACCTTTGATGAAATAAAGAACATGGATGACAGTAATCAAATTTGATTGGAGAACTTTATAATGAGTGGATCAAACTGATAACTCTTGAACCCAATTTTCAAGTGATGATGATACCCAATTCTAGAGGAAATTATATTCCCTCTGATTAAATTCTATATGAAGTAAACATCATTACCTATAAAGTACTCTTAATAAATAATAAATAATTAAATTTTAATCTGTTTGAACATCTAAATCTATTGATTTAATAGAAATCAGAGATTAGAGAAACACGTTACATTACACTGCAAGGTCTCATTCAGCCCAATGTAGAGACTGATAAATTCTACAGGACAAATTATCCACTTTATTCAACAAATAATTGCTTATTAAAAATGTAAAGTGAATCTCTTAGATATTAAAGGAGATGAACTAGGACAACTGTGTGAACTTATTGAGTCTTGCTTCAAACAAAACAAATGCGAAGAAACAGTGAAACAATAAGGGAAAACCGAACATAAACTGTGTACTGATAATATTAATGAATTATTGTTAATATGGGTATGTGATGATGGTATTGTGGTTTTCATTTATCTGTTAGTATACTGTAATATTTCTGAGTAAATAATATGTCTAAAATTTGCTTTACATCTATTCCAGAAGAAACACTAATTTGGAGTGGGGAAATAAATAAACATGAAATACCAAATAGCTGATAATAATTTATCTGAGTGAAAAATATTTAAAGATTCATTTTATTTTCTATGTTTATGTGTTCAAAAATAAAAATAATAAATTTTAATGATCTGCTGAGCTCATATTCTCATATATAATAGAAAACATTCTTGTCTAGTAGTTATTAAAGACTTATGAATGTATTTTAAATGTGAAAAAACAACTTGATTGAAAATTAATTTGAAAGTCATAATTAATTTGTAAGTCAAAATTAATTTGCAAGTCTCTGGATTCAGACTGTCAGGTATAAAATTTTGGTTTTCCTGCTTATTAACTGTACAACCTTGGGAAATTTATATTGGTTTTCTCAGCACTTTAATGGAAATGATTATGGTATTAACTTCACAAAGGCAAAATAAAATATAGCTAAAATAATTATTATAAACTCTTAGCACAGCACATAGCACATAAAAATGTCCAATAAAGGTTAATTATCTTTAGGCACCATTTTAAAAGACAAGAAAACTGTTCAATTCGCTGGTTTTTTTATTTGTAATTTTCTATTTGTTCTAATTAGTTATTCTTGACAATAGAATGCATTTTGACATATCATACATAAATGGAGTATAACTTCTCATTCTTCTGGTTGTAGATGATACAGAATCACATCAGTTGTTTAATCATATACATACATAGGGTAATAATGTCCGCTTCATTCTACCATCCTTCTTACCCCCCTCCTCCCTCCTCTCTCTTCGCTCCCCTCTGCCTAATAAAAAGTAACTCTATTTGTAATATCATAGAACTTTGAACCTGTGTATTATTAGCAGAAATCATCTGTTACCTTTAGATATTTGAAGCCCAAATCACCAAAAATAATTATCTATTCATCTGAGAACAGAATCTACAAAGATGTCATAAAACCTATTTTCTCTCACCTCAATAATTTGTTTCTCTGTTTTTTCCATCCAGACCCTGCCTTTTTCTCCAAAACCATTATTAGAGTTGAAAAATTGATTAGACAAAGGAGAATAAAGGGAAGGGATGGGAATACAAATAGGAAAGACAATGGAATGAATCTGATATAACTTTTCTATGTACATATATGAATACACAACAATGAATCTCACCATCATGTACATTGACAGGGCTGGGATCCTAATTAGAATAAGAAGACACTTCTCAGAAGAAGATATACATCTGATCAACAAATATATTAAAAAATGTTCAATATCTCTACTAATTAGAGAAATGCAAATCAAAACTACTCTAAGATTTCATCTCACTCCAGTCAGAATGGCAGCTATCAAGAATACAGACAAAAATAAATGATGGCAGGGATGTGGGGGAAAAGGCATACTCAAACATTGCTGGGGACTGCAAAGCAGTGTAACCAATCTGGAAAACTGTATGGAGATTCCTTAGAAAACTTGGAATGGAACCACCATCTGACCCAGCTATCCCATTCCTCGGTCTATACCCAAACTACTTAAAATCAGCATAATATAATAATGCAGCTACATCAATGTTCATAGCAGCTCAATTCACAATAGCTAAACTGTGGAACCAACCTAGAAGCCCTTCAATAGATGAATGGATAAAGAAACTTTGGTATATGTATGCACAATGGAATATTACTCAGCAATAAAAGAGAATAAAATTATGGCATTTTCAGGTAAATGGATGGAGTTGGAGAATATCATGCTAAGCAAAGTAAGCCAATACCAAAAAACCAAAGGCCAAATATTCTCTCTGATAAGTGGATGCTGATTCATAATAGGGAGTGGAGAGGCAAGGGAAAAATAGAGGAACTTTGATTGGGCAAAGGGGAGGGAGAGGAGGGAAGGTGCATGGGGGCAGGAAAGATGGTGGAATGAGATGGACATCATTACCCTTGATACATGTATTATTGCACATATGGTATGACGCTACATCATGTACAACCATAGAAATGTAAAGTGCTGCAATAGTGTACAATGAACCAAAATGCATTCTGCTATCATATATACCTAATTAAAATAAATAAATAAATTTTTAAAAAATAAAAGAAAAAGAAGTGTTCCATAATGGTATAAATATATCAAAATAGATTTTACTATCATGTATAACGAAAAAGAACAGTAAAAATTTAAAATACATAAAAGTTGAAAATAAATAAAGAAAACTGGATATATTTTTTTAAAAAAGAATCTGACAATTCAGAATATATACATATATCTTCACAACATTTTGAACATTATAGTTCCTATATTAATGTAAGAAGTAGTATTTATACTGAGTGTGATGACACATGCCTGTGTTTCCAGCTGATTGGGAGGCTGAGGCAGGAGGATCACACGTTTTTAGGCTAGTCTCCGCAACCTTGCAAGGCACTAAACAACTTAGCAAGACCCTCAAAATAAAAAAATAAAAAAGGCTGGGGATGTGACTCGGTGGTTAAGTACCCCCGGGGTTCAATCCTTGGTACCAAAAATCAGAAATGAAAACATAATATTTATGGCCATAAAATTCAGAATATAAGCTTATTACATTTTTATGAGAAAATAATTTCAATTATGTATGAACTGACATAAAAATTATAATCATTCATTATTATTAAATGTTTTTGTTCTAGCTTTTCTCTCAAGAGCTCAAAGTGGTTTTCATATCCAGTCAGCTCTATTTTTAAGACTTTCCATGACAAATTAACTCCATAATCCAGCATACTATCAAAACAATATTTTTGACATTTATGTTAACTGACTCATATTTCTTTGTGTCTAATGCTACAAAATGCATAGAATCAAAAATTGTCCTAACAGCAGCGACCTAAGTATTCCATGCTTAAGTCAAACTTTTTCTAACGTAAATACTAATTTCAAAATAAGTGTGCACTTTACCACTTGAAGATAATTTTTTTCCTGTGAAGAGGGGCAAAATACAGAATTCTGATGTATTGTAATAATTTTCAGATTTCTAAATTATCAAACTAACATTAACTAATGTTCAACTATGAACATATTAAACCTATTTTTCCATGACCTAAATTTTTAAAATGTGGAGTTTGGTGACTCTCTACTAACAAAATCTGCCTTAATACTAAAACACCCACTATTTGTGATTTGAAAATACACTTTACTGTACAAAATTATATATTAAAAAATTCCTTAATCAGCACATAATGCAGTGCATATTCAGTTAAACAGAAATTGTTTAAGCACTTTCCAATGAATGACAAATCTGAATATGACTTAAACACTGATTTGTCATTTTATTTACCATGCCTCTTATTCCTATGACACTCACAGAGACAGAGATTCATTTGGAATTATAAAAAGAAAAGTTTCTACATTTCATTGTGTAATTAATAAAGTTATATGCATTAAAAAATAAGTCTTACCACTCTCCTGATTTTATAAAGGTTTGTGGTCAATATTTCTTGAATATTAGCCATAACATCCTGATCAGGAGCTAAGGATGAGATTGGCATGGTTGTTTGACGGCTGTGGCTGGAAATAAAATATCTGGATTACTTATGCTCTTTCAACACACAAATATACAAATTCAAAAAACACATTCAAAAAACCTAATGAATCAATAAGTAGATGTTTTCAAAGATATTTTGAAAGGGTAATTGAGGACAGGGTGGAGAGTGTACAAAAGACACATTAAAAAGCATAAATCTGGGGCTGGGGATGTGGCTCAAGTGGTAGCATGCTCACCTGGCATGCGCAGGGCGCTGGGTTCAATCCTCAGCACCACATAAAAATAAAATAAAGATGTTGTGTCCACTGAAAACTAAAAAATAGATATTAGAAAATTCTCTCTCTCAAAAAAAAAAGCATAAATCCGATCTTTCAATGATAATAAAATCAGATATTTAGGTAATTTCTTCTTTTAACCTTACTTATCTCAACATTTAAAATATACTTACAGTAGATACATGAGCATAATATTTAAAAGGGAAGTTCTTTTGATGTGTGCTAAAATTTTATAATTCAAATAACAGTATAATCTATATACAATGAAATATATAAAATGCTGATAATATGTTCCTCAAAATACCTTTAATAAAGTTGAAGATAAAAACCCTTTGATATTTAGTTTGAATAACTTACTCTTCATGGAAAGAAAATTACAAGTAAGATAAATATGATGACTGAGACCAAACATTAGAATTGTGCTATTTTATACTAGTATTGGAAATATTTTTGAGATTTTATTTTGAGTATGTAACACTGTAATAATACCTAAATTTAATTTATACTACTTGGCCACTTTATAATAATATTTTTATGTTAATCTTGAAATTAATGCCTTATTCTCCAAATTCTGGAACATATTATTATTAATAAGGGGTATCAAATCCTAACAATTTACTATATTTCTTATCCTAATATTAATTTCAGATTTATATTATTAAATAAAAGGGAAAATAAGTGATTTATATAGTTACTTCAGATAGTGCCTAATTTAGATAAAATAAAATTCACATTTAGGGTTCTAAATTAATCAGATTTGCTATATATACTTCTCAAGTACATCAAGTTTAAGTTGAGCCTTTGATGTGGTTTTATTTTTATATATCTGGCTTGATAAATACAAATATTAATGATGATACCCTTCCTAAATACATCCAAATCCTAAGGTACTCAAGGATTTTCATCATCCACTTATCCACTTATCTTTCCTACTCTATAATAGAGTAGAATATCCAGCTCCTCCACCTGCAGAATATCCAGCTGTGATGATTTATAGTAGAAAAGATTTCAGGAGTTCATCTTGTGTAGCCCACATTAAATAGGCAAGTAAAAAACCCAATAAAAATTTTATTTTTAATTAAAACTCATATAAGATAAAAAGTATTTTGTTAATATATTTTGATATCTTATTCCAGCACTTATTTCATAACTTTCTCTTAAAAAGACATCCTTTAACTTCAGTCAATGATTTAGAATTCACAACTGATACCCAGTCATGAATTTAGGATATTTTTGTTAATTTTTACCTTACATAATGTTTACTTTTAATTCTTATAGTTTCCTCTCCTAAATATATTTTTCAGGTTACAATATTAGTATATGCATACTAACAAAAATACAGAAAATATAAAGAGTAATAAAAAAATCAAATAATCTCACTACATAGAGAAAACTATGATTAAAACGTGGTGTATGCATTTCCGGATTTTTTTTTATCCAGACACAGATAAGGGCAGAAAAATTTTATATTCTACAAAAAATAATCATATATATACTTTCTTTTTAAAAATTATTATTCAATTTGATAGTGTACCACAGATAAAGGTTCATATAAATACTTACTTTATACATCTTCATCACTTTAAAAGATGTATGTTGTTCTAACTAATTATTAAATATAAAGAAAAGCTAAGTTTTAGACCTTCATTTCTGATATTGAATAGAGAAATGAGCTATTTATTGGTTAAATATATTCCTGTAAAATCAAGCATTGATCAGTTGAGAAAGATATATTGAATAATAAGTTAGTTAATTATTTATTCTTTGTTTAAATATGCAGCTGCAGTTACTTTATACCAATTTTTAAAAAATATTCTTAAAGGAAAAAAATATTGTATAATAAATTTAATCAAAAGACCAACCCCTCAAGAAAAATCTCATGATGCAGAAAAACATCAAATTCCTACTGAATCAACACACAAAATGAATAGAGTAATAGCTTTCTATTACTTTTTATTCTTATGTTTTCTCTTTTGAGATCTATCTGCTCTCTCTAAACAGTGGCCTCCAGATCTACAGCCAGGAAATCACCAACTTGTATATTTTTTCTTTATTGTTTATCTCCAACAAAAACAAATTAAACACTTAACACTCAATTAAATTCTTTTTTTTAAAAAGAGAAAGAGAGAGAGAGAATTTTTAAATATTATTTATTTTTTAGTTTTCGGTGGACACAACATCTTTATTTTTATGTGGTGCTGAGGATCGAACCCAGCACCCCGCGCATGCCAGGAGAGTGTGTTACAGCTTGAACCACCTCCCCAGCCCTCAATTAAATTCTTAATCAACAAAAGCCTACAAAAATATTTAACCTAACATCAATCCTTACCTGAAACAAAAATGCAAAGATAATTCTTCCTTGGAGGTAGATAACCTTTTTTAAACCTTTAAAAGCTAAAAGTTTCATAGACATAATTTATTTCATTAAGCTCCATGTTCAACAAAGCAGCCAGTGATACTCAACCAAACATCCTCAATTTTATCTTAAAATTCTTTGTTTTTCCAAAATGTGATGCAAGGAAAGGCAAATTATATTTTGAAACTAAAATACATGGAAGATCTCTGTAATTATCCTGTGATATCTAATTAAACAGATTAAAACCCACACATAATAACACACTAACATATATACTTACAGCAAAGATGTACTAGATGGTGTGTGTGTTAGCTGGCCTGCTTCTGCCAGCTCAATGGCATGTTTTCTCTGAAGCTTTTCATAAAGAAGCACAATGCTGGATTTGGGCTGGTCATATTCTCTGAGCAAAATTTTCTGCAAATATCTGCTGTTGAAATATTCCAATCTGTTAATGAATCAAATAACACATAAATTACAGGAATTTAATGCCACTATTTGAGGAGGCTTACACTTTGGAAAAAAAAAATCACAAAATTGGTTTACCAACTCCCTAATCCAAACTTACTTCATTAAAATGTAAGTTTAATATGTAGTAGAGGGGGAAAAAACTCACAAGAGATTCTAATTTAATCTCTCATCTTTTTTATTATTTTTATTTTTTATAGTGGTACTGGGGATTGAACCCAGGCCCTTTTGCATGCAAGGCAAGCACTCTACCAACTGAATTATATCCCCAGACCCTCTAATTTAATTTCAAATATGTGTTATGAAAAAAAATTATTCTTTAGGGTTAACCAAATAGAGTCATTGAGGCCATGAAAAGCAGAGTATAGAAAAATAAAATAAAACTTTAAGGGCAAAGACAGAAATAATGTTAAAGTAGGGTCTTCATTTCAGAAACAGCCATGAAAAAAGAGAATACTTGAAACAACTTATTTTCAAAGACTGAGAAAAGGAATGAGTCATATTTTTGAAAGCTTTGCATAAGGAGCCTGAGTTTAAACTTACACAGTAAACTCAAAAAATGAAAGAAAAATAATGTTTATTCTCAACTTCATAACAACTGAATGGAAATGTCTGGCCTTGATTCTAGGCTTAAGAGCTCAATTTCAAATTTCCTTAGGAAGCAGGTGGCAGTATTGAGCTCAGAAAATAATGAAACAACAGGGCTGGGGTTGTAGCTCAGTGGTATAGCACTTGCCTAGCACATGTGAGGCACTATGTTAGATCCTCATCACCACATGAAAATAAATAAATAAAATAAAGATATCATATCCATCTACAATTATAAATATTTTAAAAAGAATAAAGAAACTGTAGAATATAATGATAGCAACTTTAATTAATAAAAATAATTGGACAGGGCTGGGATTGTGGCTCAAGGGTAGAGCGCTGGCTTTGCATGGGTGGGACCTGGGTTCGATCCTCAGCACCACATAAAAATAAAGGCATTGTGTTGTGTCCATCTACATCTAAAAAATAATAATAATAATAATAGTAATAATAATTGGACACATAAATTTGTGGGGGTAGGAAAAGATGCTATTTTAGGAAAGGTGGATATTTATTTATAAAACATAAGAAGGGGAAGAAAATGAAAAGAGATTGCCCACATTTGTGCAACAATGAAGAAAAAAAAAAAGCTCACTGTACGAAACCATATAGAGCATACTCAAGCAGACAGTGGAGTAATTAACTCAAACACTTTATTATAAAAAAATGGTGTTTCTCCAAGTGTGGTCCTAGAAATGTCTATTGCAGGCTTGTCCAGGTCCTTTCTGAAAATTACTGAGATCTATACAAAATGGAATGAATAATACATATATATTATAAAGAGATTTTTAGAGATTCTCATGGATGTTGTGTCTTTAGACTAATTGATCAAGGACTCCTTCTCTTCCATTTTGCATCAAATTCAAGTTCAGCCATGTAGCCTTTGTTGGGTGGAATCAAGCATAAGTATGGATGGAATAGTTTCCCCAGAGTAAAGGAAATGGGGATTTGAGGCTGATGCTGGGAAAGAGAGCAGCCTAAGGAGGGATTTATCCAGCTGGGATAAGCTGATGAGGGATGGATCCCATGCACAACAGAGACCAGCACAGCTCTTTAAAAGGTAGCAGGCCATTGATGCAACTGACTCTTGGATACTATAGGACTGATCCCTGTGGCTAGGCTGGAAGTTTGTATAGATGACCTCCGAAAGGGCACTTCTTTGGCTTCCTCTCATAAACAGTGTCCAACGAATGCTCCAATATGGCATCAGAGGAAAAAAGCCATAAATATGATAGAAACCACTGCAGACAAAGACTAGACTGAACTTCACTTTTCTGGTATCATATAAGACTTCAGAGTTTTGCATAATCCACATTCTGATGTATGAATATGGCAGGTAAGTCCTGCAAGCCAAAGGCATGGCTAGCCCTCAGAAAAAAACAAGAAAGTGAAAATACTTCTCAGTCTTGTAAAGAACTAGCAATTGAGCTTCAATGTGAAGAATAAGAGTCAATTTCTTTGTTTACTTATCTTCTGTACGTTTTTCAAATTTTTCTAAGATATAAAGATATATATATATATATATATATATATATATATATATATATATATATATGTGTGTGTGTGTGTGTGTGTGTGTGTATTTTTCACATCCTGGGTATCAGGATGAGAATCTGTTCTTCTGAACTGACAATAGCTAGTAGCTCACGTCATTAATGGGCAAGAAACAGTAAAATTATTAACATGATACAAACTGGACTATTTCATATGAATATGTAAATTATACATACATATTTTCAGATTTTCCTTTTGCAAGTGGTTTCATCAGCTTCTTTTTTAACCCTCTATGTTGTATATGTTCATGTATTTATGCCTTGTAGAAAACAACAATTTTCCTCTTCTCATAGAAAATTTTTTGTTTATTTTACTTTCACCTCACAGTATGTATTGAGTCTAATAATGATAATCATTTCTGCCTAAGAAAAGGAGGAATTGAAAAGTACAAAGGAGATAATTAAGCAACGTTCAAAGTTACGACTTTTAAAGTGAATATTGTTTTCTTCTTTTTCTTCCCTTCCAAGAAATGCTTTAAGACATGTATTAGCTGTCCCTAGGAAAAAAATTACTTTTGTGAAATATAGAAGTTTGATAGCTGAAAAATGTAAAATAATAATGATAAAAATGTGAACAAAAGTCTCTGGGAGGAGAGAGGTACATCCAACAGTTTCATTGTTTTTCTACCAGCACCATAGATAAGAGAGAGGCAGAGAAACCTCAGAAGGAAGATATACTTGTGATTCTGGAAAGATCATTTCTCTCTTTGAACAACTATTAGAATGTTTGTGTTATTATGCTATTGATAAAGGAGAAAAAAACATTGTGAATTAAATATAAAATACAACTCATATAAGTAAAAAAAAAAAAAAATTGGGGGCTGTAGGTGTATCTCAGTGGTACAGCACTTGCCCAAAATGCACGAGGGGTGGGGGTTGCTGTGTGACTTGTCAGTAAAGGAAAAACAATTAGTGTAAATTCTCCTGAATTCATTGTTTACATCCTTTTCCTGTGATCAAAAATTAACATTAAAATTCAATAAGTGGAAAATATCTATTTTGTTATATCCTTTGTATTTATAATTATAGCAAAGAAATATATTATTTTTAATAGAGTTCACTATAAATTGTTTTAGTACTGGGGAAGATCAGTATAGTAATTTCTCTTGGTTCTCTTACCTTAGCTTCACTTTATAACTATTTTGGACAGTAACATAAAAGGATGCCTACAAATCATCTGGCATCAGGACTTGTGTCATGTGTTTGTTGCTAAAATGAAATCTGATATTTTACAAAGTTCCAGTCAGGACTTAACATCAAATCAGGGAATTTTAATATTCACTGCTAAAGCAGCACTTAGAAAGAGATCATAATTAAATATCATTCAAATATTTGGGTTAAACTCTTGGAACAGATTCAGTATAAGCATATAATGTCCCTTTATAGTTCACTGTCACTCATTTATTTATTCAAAAATATTTACTGGCTGCCTACTGAGTAAAAGGATCTCTTCTAAGTGCTGCAGTTACAGAATTTAACAAGATAGACAAAAGTCTCCACTTTCACACAACTGGTATTTTAGTGAAAGAAAAGCATGCAAAATTATGCATTTTATATTAATTATATCATTAAAACCTTTAGAAAATATTTAATAAACATGTTAGAATACCAGAGATTTATATATTTTTCATACAATTACAATACACTGATACAATAGAGAAAAATTGAATGGTGAGGGAAGATGTCTCTGATGAGGCAAAATTTAAATTAAGACTTGAATGGCAAGAAAATATTGGACATGCAAATATTATATAAAAGTGCATTCCAGGCAGAGGAAATAGTATGCACTGACTTTAAGGTAGAAGTATTCTGAGTTTACTGGACAGAAGAAATAGAATAACAATATGTCTGCAGTATAGTAAATGGCAGAGAGAATACTATAAGATGGTGTAAGGAAATTTAGCAGTTTCTTTGAAACTATACTTAATATTCCCAAGAGAAAGGGATGGCCTGTGAATTTTATGACATAAGGTTTAGCTTTACAGTGTGGATTTGGTGTCATTTGTATACATTTCTTGGTTAAAAAAAAGTTCTAACCTTTCTTTTAAGCTGCCATTTTTTATAATATATAGATGAATAAATATCAAAAATACCCAAAAGAACCAGACATAATGAGAAGTTGACTCATTTTGTTTCTTTTTTCAACACAAATACAGATGTAACTTTTGGCAAATTCTCACCTGTCTTTCCAATAATACTGTCCCCAGTGTCCTGATATATCTTCTATGCCCGCCAGCAAATGATCAAAGAACTGAAACAGAATGAAACATGTATCTAAATACAAAGCATATACGAAAAACTTGATCAATCACTACAAAATAAAAGAATCCATCAAAAGCATCTACAAAATTGTTGACTACTTGCTTATTTCATCCTAAAATCTTTTTTATTTATTTTTTTGTTCTTTTTAGATATACCTGACTGTAGAGTGTATTTTTTCACTTATCAGTTTCTTTTATTTTTAAAAGATTTGTTCTGTTTCGATATACATGACAGAAGAATTTTTTGTATGTGGTCCTGGGGATAGTAGAGTGTATTCTGATATATTATAAACTCTTTTCAGAGTAAATATAAAAAGAAGCATCAATGCTTATAGGTGACAATGTTTGCAGTATCTCTAGTATATTCATTATAAATGCAGTATTTGAAGTCAAAAGAAGTTCATATCAATTAATACTACATGACAGATTCATTCATCTATCAAGGATCTGGGCTTGGTATTATTAAGTAAACAAAAGAAGCAAAAGGCATGACCCCTAACTTTGAAGGACTTAGAACCAAACTGGAGAGGGAGGCACCACTTAGAGATGAAGGTGAAATTTGGAATGCATTTTTGTATAAATGCAACATAAAAAGACAAACTTAGGAAAGAAGTAGAAAAAAAGTGGAGTTAGAGGAGGTTTATATAAAAATGTGCATTATGAGATTGACCCTGATTAAATGGGGGTATCTATGGAAAAAAAGAAATCATACTATGCACTGTGAAAAGCATGAGAAAATAAGGAACTTTAGGGAAGAATCATAAAAATAGAAAGCTGGATAGATATAGGCCAAGGGTTGGGCAAAAGAGAGCAGCTTACAAAATGTTTTGAATATTAAAATTAGAAGTTTAATTTGATATAACATCTCAAAATTGCATAATCTGAATTTATGTATGAGGAAACAATCAATAAATCTGAGTGATAGTCTACAAATACATATTTTGAAAGTGGCAATGTCATCAAAGACAATGAAATACTGAGAAACAACATTAAAAATATTTTAAAAAATGACAACTAGGTATAACTCATGACCTGCATCAGGAGAAAAATACTATAAAAAGCATTATTGGAACAGTTGACAAAATTTTTAATGCAGAATAATTATTTTAGATATCAGTATTGTATCAATTTTGACCTGCCTAAATTGTATAAATTGATCATGATTATATACTAGAAAGTCATTTTTCTTAGAAAATATTAATACTTGATATTTTTAGAGGTGAATTGTCAGGATATCTGCAGCTTAGTTTTAAATGACTCACTAAATGACAATAATAACATACATATATAAACAAAATGGTAAAGCAAAGGTGGCGAAGATATCAATGAACACTGCATTGAACTACGTTTGAAATTCTATAGACTTAATATTTTTAATGTTGGAAAAACAAAATAAATTAAAGTTTGATTTAGTCATATAAATTGCTTAAATGAGTTATGTCCTATCTATGTAGTGTATATTATGTCATCATTAAAGTTATTAGCTCATATGGCCAGGAATAAGACAATATCAATATAAATTATCCCTAAATTAATCTAAAATGCCACTCAGTTACAATAAAAAGACCAGAAGGTTTCTTTTTATAACTTGAGCAATTATCAAAATTGAAGATAAAAATGTAAAGAGTTTAATTAATCATGCTTGTAGAGTCTTAGACACATGAATATTAACAAAACATATATTTGATAAATAGAATGTCATCATCTGCTGAAAATGTGTCTCAAAAAATTATGCACACTGGCCAGGCACAGTGATGCAGGCCTATAATCCTAACAGCTGGGGAGCCTGAGGCAGGAGGATCACAAGTTCAAAGTCAGCTCCACCAACTTTTTAAGGCCCTAAGCAACTCAGTGAGACCCTGTCTCTCAATAAAATATTTTTTTAAAAAAGGGCTGGGGATGTCAATCAGTGGTTAAACCCCTCTGGGTTCAATCCCCAGTAAAAAAAAAAAAAAAAAAAAATATGGACTCTGCCAAATTGATGTTCAAGCAAAGTAGTCTTAGATTTTTTTGTCAATATTAATAAATTAAAGAGTATCTTGAAATCATTCTTAATATCTTCTATATTTCAGTATTTTTATTTTCATTTTATATTAGTTTATATATGATAATCAATATTTATATTTATATAAGAGAAATGTAAAAATTAAAGTAAAAATGGGAACAAGGAGAGGAAGAAGGGGAAGGAAAGGAGAAGTACTGGGGACTGAATCAGAGCAAATTAAGAGTCCATGCTTGGGGCTGTGGTTGTGGCTCAGAGGTAGAGCACTTGCCTAGCATGTGTAAAGCACTGGGTTCAAACCTCAGCACCACATAAAACTAAATGAATGGAATAAAGGCATTGTGTCCATCTACAACTAAAATATATATTTAAAAGAGTCCATGCTTATATGATTATGTCAAAATGAACCCCAGTATTATGTATATCTATAATGCCTTAAGAGTAAAGAAAGCAAAAGCAATACAAATTTTATGCCATTAAATATCTCTGACCATCTTGTTACTTCTCATGTAGATATGAGGCATTTTATTTTCAACTCTGGGCATTTAATAAGCCCTGTTTCAAAGAATATACTTTACAAGTTGACTGTTAAAATCTTTAACTTCCTCAGACCTCAATAATATAAGAAATTCCACCAAACAAAAAAATGTCCCCCAAAACTTTCCAATTATATATTAATTACACAATTCAGGGTAAATGCAATTGCTCTACAAAACCAAATACAAAGTAAACTAAGCTACTGGATTAATTGGGCATATATTAAAAATTAGTATGATAAAGTAACCAAGAACACTGATACTAAAAATTTTAAGTAAAAATATTTATCTTTCATAATTATTCAACCAGGATGTGTCCCTGGAGATCATGAAAAACACAATATAAATTTACTGAGTAGGAAGCCAAAGTCACAATGATCTTAAAAATCTCCCAACATAATATAGGAAGCTGTGTAGTAACAGAGAAAAGGTTGAAGTTCACATTCTCCGTGTTCTTAGTCCATCAAAACTGTTTCTTGACTTTTCAAATTACAGATAAGTAAAAAATAATAAATACCAATTTGAAAGTCAAAAAATTATGTCTCATTTTGTTAGGAGGACAATCCAAGAATAAAAAAGATCTTCATATAAGGGTTAGTTTCATCCAACAAGATCAACTAGATGATATTTAGACAGCTTACCCTAATAAGAATTTGTTCACTCACAGTTGGAGAGGTTTCTCTTCTTCTTGTCACATCTAATAAGTCAACAAGAGGACGAATGGTCATCCCCTATAAAATGACAAACAAAAGGTTACATTCTTTTTGTTAGCTAGCAGTTAGATATATTCAATGGATCTGGGATTTAAGAAAATACTTAGCGCAAAACTAATCAGTTAAGCATCAGCTTTGCTTATGCTGTAAGCACCATAAGGTCTGACAAGATAGCTACTTCATGACCCTTACCTAATTTCCACTCTAAAAATTATTCCTCTTACAAAAGGAGAAAGATAGACTAATTCAGGGGATAAGAACCAGAGGAAAAGGGAATATTAGCTCAAAGGGCCTAACTGCAAAAAGCAAGATCTTATACCAACAATGCTGACTTAAGTTTAGCTGTCACAAGTTCCTGTGTCTGGTGCTGGAGTTGTAGCTCAGTGGTAGAGTGCTTGCCTAGCATGTGTGAGTGTTTTAATCCACTTTTTCACTGTTGTGACTAAAGGACCCAACCAGCACAACTGTGGAAGAAGAAACTTTTATTTGAGGGTTCATAGTTTCAGAGGTCTTAGTCCATAGAAGGCCTACTCCATTCCTCAAGGCTCAAGGTAAGGCAGAATATCATGGAGGAAGAGTGTGGCAGAAGGAAGCAGCTCACATCATGGTGAGCAGGAAATACAGAGAGAGGTCTCCACTTGTCTGATACAAATATATACACTAAAGCCACACCCCAATTCCCACCTCTTCCAACCACACCATACTACTTCAGTTACCACTCAGTCCCTATCAGGGGACTAAATCAATGATTGGGTTAAGACTCTTACAAGTCAATCATTTCTCCTCTGAACCTTCTTGCATTGTCTTACACATGAGATTTTTGGGGACACCTCACATCCAAACCATAATAGTGAGGCACTGGGTTTCATCCTCAGCACTATATAAACAAACAAGCAAACAAACAAATAAATAAAGGTACTGTGCCCACCTAAAACTAAGAAAATATTTTTTAAAAAAACAAGATTGTGTGATTCCTTGGGAAAACAGGATATAAGACCCACAAAGAAAAAAGAATCCAATTATGGTGATCAAGAGTCACCCCTAGCTAAATTGTCATGTATAAATAACCGTCAATAAATACAGTAGGTTGGTCTAGGAGGTGGAGACAAAACAAGAATTTCCTTGATACTATAAACACCTGAGCTCACGAAGAGAGCTGGAGTCAATCTCTGCAATGATCTGGACTCTCCAGTCTAAAGTTGCACTTTATTACTTTCTCTTTGCTAATTAAGGCTCTGTTTGGTGACAGAACTGTGTTATGTCTCATTCAAAATTTTCTCAGCAAGGCCACAAGAATGGAGGAGGGCTTTCCATCAGAATATATATTTGGTGTCATGACTGATCTGCTCCTTCTGAGTAAAAGATTACTATAGCTCACCTCTTACCAGAGCTGAGTCTGAAATATTTACTACTTTACTCACTCCATTCTGTGCATATTGATAGTTTGGGGGGTTTTCATTTTCCTGATATATTGCTTTTGCCACATACTAGGTCCCTGTGCTCACTGTCAGACTAACTAGTGCTTCATATGCATGTTTATTAAGGAGGCTCAAAGTACCCCCAGTGAACCAAGAGAATGCTTACCAACTGCCCAATATTTTATGGAGGTTCTATTGTCCTTGTAGTGCCCTAGAAGAGAGCGATATCTAGTACAACACCATAACTATTTGGAGCATGTATGTTGGATTGAAGTGAGCATATGTGGGATACAAATAAAGGCAAAGGAGACCAGACTATAGTACATGAATCAAGTATATGATTTCTGAGTGCATATTCTTAAGAGTACGAAAGTAAAGAATCAACAAGTAAAAATAAAAGAGGAGTGTAAAACATATGCACGAATGGTTATAAGTATGAGCATATTTTTGGTAGGGAAGGTTAAAAAAAAGAAAGAAGATATGCTTGTTTAAGAGAGGATTTTGTATAGTGAAATAAGATTTGGTCATAAAGTAAAATGACTGGGTTTCCCCAAAATGGAGAAAGTCAAATAAGAAATTTGATTATAGAAAGTCATAGAGTCTAAGTCATAAATTTTGTCAATATTAAAACAGATGGCGCTCTCTCTCTCTCTCTCTCTCCCTCCCTCCTTCCCTCCCTCCCTCACCCTCTCCCTCTCTCTCTCCCTCTCTCTCTCATCACATTGACCTCCCAAAGCATTAGCTTACAGAATATAGTTATTTGTAGTTTATTTCAAATGGCAGCAGGAGAGGCCAAAGGAAGTTTAGTGTTTGTTCTTCTTGGAGCTAATTTCTTGCTATGTGACATGGCAATTCCACCATAGATGGTTCCTGGCTCACTAAGGAAAAAAATTAACTCCTTCCCTGCAGTAGCTTTGTATGAATTTCTGTTATCTCATGTTTTTAAGCCCTGGTAGTGGAAATAGACTAAGGCTTCCTACTTCTCAAATTGCTGGCTACTCAGACACCATTTGTTTGAGGATGACAATCTCTAATGCTAGTTATCAATTTATTCCATTTCTATCTCACTTAAGAGTTATTATTTACTGTCATGGGATACATGACTAGCAAGCTATGAGGAAAAAAAATAGCCCCAACTCCCGCTCTTCACCAGCTAGGTCAGCAGGGCCTCCAGGACGGACTGATAGAATTATGAGATACAGAAAGAGGATGGGTGCCTCATGGCCTAGTTATATGATTTTAGAACATGGAATGGAGGCAATAGTAAGAGTGACCATTAGTCTGAACCTCACTTAGGAGACATTGATAGGGATGCCCAGGTTGGTCTCCAACCCAAGAGACACTGAGCTTAATTCAGATATGTCCACTCACCTGAAGATTCTGTGATCACTCTCTCTTTTTTTTAGAGAGAGAGAGAGAATTTTAATATTTATTTTTTTAGTTTTCGGCGGACACAACATCTTTGTTTGTATGTGGTGCTGAGGATCGAACCCGGGCCGCACGCATGCCAGGCGAGCGCGCTACTGCTTGAGCCACATCCCCAGCCCCACTCTCTCTTTTGACAAATAAAAAATTTCATGTTAGTTCCTCTCATTCTCTACTGAGCTGTATCTTCAATGACTGAAGTAATTTTGACCCTGAGATACTCAAGAAAAAGGGGTTCATTTTTTTATAACAGTGCTTGACATCAACATCAAGCTTGGGAGTCATTAATAATGGCCCCTTAATGTGAACCTTAACACATATACCTTCTTGCTGTTAGACCTTTTCTGCGAACAGGAAGACAAAAAGGGGAAGTACAGATCTTTTCCAAACTGAAGGAAGATAAATAGCTATACCAACAATGCTGGCTTGACCCAGATTTTATGGCAGACCTAAACATGTTCCCTCCAAGACTAGGAGATAAGCCGCCTATGACTCCTCCTCCAGAAAAACCAAAACCTACACCTGCCACTGTCATGGTATGTCCCAATACTATTCTTCCTCACCTAGCCCTCCATACCCAGGAGAGATGGGAATGGAATGGTCAGAAACTGAGTTGATGAAACAAAGAATGTCATAGCCTCTGGTGTGTGGGAATAGCAAAACACATGTAAAAAGTTGGAAAAGATTTAAATCCTTTCAATTAATTAATTAGTAGCTACAGGAACAGTTGCACTATCTAGTAACAGTTATTCTCCAAAATGGAAGATTCCTTAACTGTAAGTCAGGATCACATTTGTCTATATTTTCAAGAAGAATGCTGTTTTTAAAGTATTCAGTCTGGTAAAGGTACATCAAAATATTAATCAGTCTGGTAAAGGTACATCAAAATATTAAAAGGCTAGTGGATAAAGCAGTTAATCAACAGTCCTGCCTCAGTGTCACCACAAAATCTGTCAAAACAGCTATTTCATGACTATTGCCTGATCTCGGTTCTATAAACCATTTCTTTTATCTATTACAAATATTGATAAAGTCAGAGGCTAAGAACCATGGAACAGGGAAATGTCTGCTTAAAATGGTCTAACTGTTAAAACATCTTGAACAAAACCTTACACTAACAATACTAATCATATGGTGGCCCATGATAAGCTGTCACAAAATTCTGAGCCCCTTGGAAAATAAGATACAAGGCCCTCTAAGGAAAATCAAGCTGATTAGTGACCAAAAGTCACCCCTAGATGATAAGCATATATTAGTAACTGAATAAAATAGAATAAGTGGATCTGGGAAGTAAAGATTGTGGAAAACTTCCTTATCACTCACTACAGCTTAGCTCACAAAGAGACCAGGGGTTAATCTTCTTTGGGGCAACTAGTCTCTCCCATCTGATGGTGCACTTTCATATTTTCTCTTTATTAATTAAAGTTCCATTTCATGTTACTTAAAACTGTGTGTGTCTTGTCTAAATTGTTCCAAAAAAAAAAAAAAAGACACAAAAACTGAGGACAGGAAAACTTTCCTGTGCAACACTTTGACATAAAATTAGTGCTTGAATATATTCTTGATGTATTTGTGTGTATGTTTATGTGTTCATGTGTGTGCATGGATACACAAGTCTATCTTCTATTTCTGGCCAAAATGAAGGGAATTTAGAATATTAAGAGTAATGATTGGGGGGCGCTGGGGTAGTGGCTTAGCAGTAGAGTGCTTGCATAGCACATGCGAGGCCCTGGGTTCAATCCTCAGCACCACATAAAAATGAATAAATAAATAAAACAAAGGTATTGTGTCCACCTACAACTAAAAAAAATAAACAAAAAAAAAAAAAAGAGTAATGATTGGGCCTAAAATAATACCTGAGAGAAAATCAGTGCTTCTTTTTTCACAGAGGTCAATGGGAAATATAGGTCACTTAATAAAATGCAAATATAGGTCACTTAATAAAAGGGTTTTATGACCAAAATTGAATTGTTATATATTGGAGCTGAGAGACACTCTATCATGTTTTTGAATGTGATTATCCCATTGTTGATCACTTATAAAAATAAGCATATTGTGTTCCATTGATCTGTGTGTGTCCATTTTTATATTTATTCCATAATATTTAAGTTATTATAACTTTCTTGTATATTTTGTGATGCCTCCAGCTTTGTTCATTTTGTTCAAGATTGCTTT